GCGTACTTATCCATGAAGAACTCCTCAGGACTTATCTGGTCGCCGAACTTGCGCATCGCCTCCCTGTACACGTCTGCGGGCTTTATTCCCTGGGAGTAGACCTTGTTAGGTACTCCGTTAATACTAACGCCAGCGTTGGTAATGTTGGGGTTAAAGAACGCCTCAGAGTCTCTACCGCCCGCGGTATACGTCTTTGCGAACAGCATCATTAACCTCGTGAGACTTCTTCGGGGAATGTTAATGCTTTCATTGATGACCTCGGGGCCATTATTTTGGAAGCTAAACGTCTTGTACATTACCACGTGGTCGTAAAGGAATGCCTTACCTGAGCTGTATTCCATTCCAGCACTACGGGCCAGCTCTTCGCTGTAGATCGTTTCATATTGTAACTCCAGGTTCGTGATGGAGTATGGTGTCGTCGTACTAGGTGCGGCACTTAATCCACCCAGGATGTTGTTAGCATCTGCTAATGTCACTTCGAACTGCAGCTCTGACAGCTGTCTTGGGTAATACACACCGTGGTTCGTAATTACTTCGAAGTCCAGGGAAATGGCATACTTGGTACCATAGGCGGTCTTTATTTCCGTTGCCTTAGCCACTGCATTCTCGCCTGAGGAGTCCGTGGGTTGTGTCTTCGTAGGCGTACGCACCTTACGCAAAATAACGCTACCAATTCCTTGTTCTATCCTTTGAGCACGGTCGAATGCAGTCAACCATAAGTCCTTGTACGTGGTGTACAGGTCGTACCTATTCAAATCCAACAAGGATTCCCCAGCGAACTTAATACGCATTTTGGACACCAGGTTACGACCTACATTATTGACGATAATCCTTTCATCCGTGGTAGTAGGTTGCACTGCTAGGTCAAACCTTAACGCCAAGGTGCCAGGAACCAACACTAGGTTATCCGTTAGGCGGGGTACGCCTACGTACAGGGTTTCTCCTGGTTTTGCGCTGCTGGGGGTAAAGGTGACCCGGTGAAAGGTTCGTTCTGCCTTTAGTTTGCCAACCTGCTTAGGTAATACGTTGGGGTTTAACTTTGAGCTTATCATATATAATGAAAGTAGAAGGAACGGATTTTGACCCCCTTACCGAAGAAGGTCAGGTGGACTTTAACGATGAAGAATTCGATGCATGGACTAAAGGCGCGGAGACCGACCCCCTAATCTACGACGCAGCTTTAGCAAATAGGTACGGTAGTAGGTGAAAAAGCTTCAAGGCCGCCCTAAATCGCTTATGGCAATCGAAGAACCGCGGCAGCCCCGTTCCTGAGTACTTAGAACTTCAAAATATGAACGAACAGGGGGAAACCGTAGAGTGGGCAACGCAAGAGCTACGGATACGCTATCCTAATTTCGAGGCGGACGACATAAAACTCACAGAACGCGGAAATAAAGTCCTCATAAGCGTTCAAGACATGAGATATCCCGAAGCTAACCGTTGGACCAAACCACAAGTCCTTTTCGATGATAATGGCTCGGTTAAGGTTAACGTGGCAAGATTAAGGGGCTTCCAAGTGGCTACCCGAAGTGCTCTAGAAAGGTTGCCAACCCTGAATGAGAGGGTCGCATTAGAAAAACGCGCCGAGGGGCTACAAGAAACGTTGGAAGAAAGGGAGGCAGATTACATGAGACAGAACCAACTGCTTGCCGATGCTCAAAAGAGAGAACTTGATGACAAAAATCAGCAAATAACAGAAATGAGAGACCAAAGAGAC